TTTCCAGTCTGTGTTAAACAAACAAAGAAAAAACCCAGTCTGCTCGCTTAGAATCCACTACTGAGTCCTGACTGGAAAAAACGCTGCACCAGGGCACAGTGACGAAGAGTGAGCAAGCAGGGAAGTCACCGGGTTTACATTCAAGCCGTTGCCCCTCCACTTACAGCTCTGCACTTTGGTCGGTTAATTTACCTTTCTGAACCTTAAGTTCCTCAGTTGTAAAACGGGGGTAAGCTACTTCATTGGGTTTTTGCTAGTAAGCCCTCACGATCGCTTTTATTAGGCCGGTTCAGGGAAGTCGCTAAGGTTTCCAAAATTGTCCCACCTAGTACCCAGGGAACATAAGTCATTCCATGCATTTGTAGAGTAAAGCCCCGTAGCTGAAAGCCTCCATCTGTTTCCCACACTTGTGCACACACTGGACTAAAGCTCAACCCTCTGAAGTTGGCACCTAAGGCCAGGGCAGCCTGGGCTGTGCCTCATCTTTGATCTCTGTCCTTGCATCTCTGAATAGCCTTGTCCCCAAGCTTGAGGTCCCTTGATTCTGAACAACACCCTCTGATATGTCTTTGTCTTGGATCAGGCAGTCTTCTCTCCTTTTGAAATGCCTCTCTTTTATTTTTGCTTCAACAACACCTACACAGGCCTCAAGATCAAGCTCAAAGGCCACCATCTGTGTATTAGCCCGTGTACTAGATCCCTGTGTAGAATCACTGACTTCCTCCTGTGAGCCTCAGCCCTTTGGACATGGCCCCACCACAGCATCTGGTATATCCAGGTAGGGCTGACTCCCGAGTGCTTTTCTCCCCTTCCCCCCAAATCTTGTCCCATTATTTAATGGGGGAAAAAAGGGGGCCGGGGGAGACACCTAAAGTAAGTATTTAACATCTTTGGAAAGCAGACATTGTACAACTCCAAAATAATCTTACTATAATTAAATAACCATTGCCTAATGTGAGCATTTCACACGCATTTAGGACACAGGTTGGGGCTCAGTTCCAGCCTTGCAATTTGGCTCAGTTTTTTTCAGACACACATTGAATATCAGGTACGTGGGTGTCCCTTTGTCCTAACTGTGGTTTTAATTCTAGGAAACACAGAGCTGAGACTAAGCCCTTGCCCTGGGGTGGGGGAGGGGGGTGATGGGAGAACAGTGAACATAAATTTAATCCTTTTGCAAACAAACAAAAAATGAAGTCCATGAAATGCAGCTGTTGTGGGGTTGTGTGTCTTGTGACATGCCTGGTGGACCTGTTACAGATGCATTTTTGGGTTTTTTTTGGTTTTTTTTTGGTTTGTTTTTAAAAGATTTTATTTATTTATTTGACAGAGAGAGAGCAGTGAGGGAGGGAACATGAGCAGGGGTAGTGCGAGAGGGAGAAGGACAGAGAGGCTCTTCAGCAGACTCTCAGCATGGAGCGTGGGGGGGGGGGTTGTGGGGGTGGGCTCCATCCCACCAATCCTGAGATCATGACCTGAGCCAAAATCGAGAGCCAGAAGCTCAACCCCTTGATCAGGAGTTTTCTTGCTCAAGATCAAAGACTAGGGGGAAAGGAGAAAAGGAGGTGGCCCGAGGGATTTGGCACATAAATGAGAACATCTCTGCCCTAATTTCTCCCCCCGAAAAATAGAGGGGAAAGGTTTCTGCTGTGTGTTCATGACTGACCCTGAGGGAGATGGTCGCTCTGACTTTGGAAAGTAACTGTGTTACCACCCCTAGAACCAGGAGGAGAGCTCCAGAGTTCTAGAGGCCGCGCTATCTACCTAGGCTGAAATTCAAATATTTGCCAAACTGCCTACCCGCTCCCAAATGGTCTCTGCATTTCTCAGCCTCCTAGACAAAAGGGAGGGAGCCAATTCTGCTCAGATTGAAATGCAAGGCTAACCTTGGGGTCTAGGTTATTGGCTAGCCTACCTTAGGCACCACATCTGGTCGAGCCCCTCCTGTATTTTCTCTCTCACCCTCACTCATTCCAAAAATGGTGGCAAATTTACCCACTACATTTGTATATTACACCTTGATATCCCAGCTACCCATGACTATAGTGTAAGCCCCTACTGTATAGTTTGAAATTGTTCAACTGATCTTGCTTCTACTCAAGTCTCTTTTAAATCAGTGTGCTTCCACACAGGACCAGGTTGATCGCTTTAGACGCATCTATGTCCCTGTCGCTCCTAAAATCCTTCAAGAACTCCACGACAATGTAAGAAAGTATCTAAGGTTCCTAACCTGTTCCACAAGACCTTTCGTGTTCTGGTCCTGCAACCTCTGTGAGCTCACATTTTGTACTCCACGTATGCTAGCTGCTCATGATTTCCCAGAACTTTGCAGCCTTTGTGTCTACGCTCTTGTGATTTCCTCAGTGCAATCAGGAAATGTCTATCAGCACTCAGATCAGCTGCGACTTCTTTACGGGAGCTGCCCTTGACCCCCCACCCCAACAACTTTTGGTCAATGGTGCCTCCTTCATATTCAGCTAGAACACTCTGCCCATTTCTATCGTTATCTCTGTCACTTAGTTCTCAAGTTACTTCTTCACACAACTACCTCCTTCATGTGGATAGTGGGAATCCAGTATTTACTCAGTTTAACCTAAATTTATTTTGAGGGGCACGTGGGTGGCTCAGTCAGTTAAGCATCTGCCTTCGGCTCAGGTCATGATCCTAGGGTCCTGGGATCCAGCCTCATGTCGTCGGGCTCCCTGCTCAGCAGGGAGCCTGCTTCTCCAGCTGCCTGCCGCTCCCCCGGCTTTTGCTCTCTTACTCTCTCTGACAAATTAATAAATAAATAAAATCCTTAAAAAAATAATAATAAATTTTTAAAAAATTGATTTTCGCTCTTTTAGAACTTGCAATAGGACCAAGCTTCTTCCAGCAATGGGGCCTTGGCACAACTGATTCTGTCTGGAATAGTTTTCTTCCCACATTCTCCTTATTTCCTACATAACACAGACTCTAATTTCAAATTATTTATGAAGGTAGCACAGCTGGCAGTTAACAGTCCAGGTACTGATACCACAAGTGCCTCATTTCAAATGGCACAATGAGTGACCTTAAGCCCTTTTCTCACTTTGTGTGTTGTGTCTGGGCACACGCTGTATGGGGTTCCTTATTTATAAAATGAGACTACTAATCCTAGTTATTTAATCCTCCTGTGTTGAGTTAAATGAGATACTACTATGTGCTAAATAGACTGCAACCCAGAACATAGCTTAATGTTTAAGGGCTCTCTACTTAAAAAAATTTTTTTGGTGTTTTTTCTTTTTCTTTCTTTCTTTTTTGGTTTTTTTTTTTTTTTTTTTTTAAATTACTGAAGGGCTTGGCACTGTAAGCTCCAGGGAGGCGGGGACTTTGCCATCTTCTTCACTATTGTGTCCCAGTACCTAGCTCGGTGTATAGTATTTGCTAAATAAATCCACGTGCTCTGAACGACCAAATAAATCCCGATCCTTACTTTGGAGCATTAATTGGACACAAGTAGGGAACTGTGGCTGCTTAAAGCCATATCAGTGGCCTGCTTTAATCAGCAATGAACTTCTAAGCCTTATATTCACTTGGCTACATAAAAAAGCAACTCTCTTTTTCCTTTAGTTTAAATGAAAGCACTTGGGTCAAAGTTAGATGAGTGGAGGCATTCTTCTTAAATTTCTGTAAGAGGAACATGGCTCTTATTTACTTGAATCAGAACAGAGAGTATCATATCTACAATTGACTGAGAATCTGCTGGAATAAAAACGCTCAGTTTAAGGTGACCTTGCTCTACGGAGAACAGAGTCTTAGGATGATGTACTGAGAACCAGATGACACACAGTATCAAAATGACAAAGTGATGTAGGAGCTGAAATCCAACAATGATCCTGGATTTTATTTTAGTGAAAACTTTAACTTCTTCCAGCACAAACCATCATTTGAAATCAGAGGAATAGACAGAGAAGAAAGGACAATCTTTTCACTTTTTAGTAGGGTGAGAGGTAAAGTTCTGAAAAGGAAGGAAAGTCTAAAGTCAGTTTCCCTGGCTTATTTTATGTGATTTTTAAAAAAAAAATCACAAAACTTTCCACCTAAAGTTGTTTTCTTTTTAGATTTTTTTTTTTTTTTAAAGCAATCTCTACACCCAACATGGGGCTTGAACTCATAAGCCTGAGATCAAGAGTTGCATGCTCCGCCAGCTAAACCAGCCAGGCACCCCTCAGCCAAAAGCTTTTTAAAAAGTAACTCAGTTGGGTAAATGGAATGAGAAGAGTTATGCTAGAAAACCCTGCTTGAGGAAGGCTGAATACAGCCAAGGCAGACAGGATAATACAGTAGCTACTCACTTCTCACTCTCAACAGAGACCAGCCCCGTGGATCATTGGAGCAAAGTGCTACGAGTTCTGTTCACACCGCCCGAAAGCCCATAGGCACCAAAGGACCTCCCCATCCTAAGCACACAAGACCCAGGGCCAGGGCCTTCATTTTCCAACTCCAGAACCAGTATCAATTCTTTTGCTGACCCATCACATGTGTGTTAAACATTTTCAGTCATGCCCAGCATTGTACGTTGTTTGTTACATTACATAATCTCAGAGCTTGAAAGTCATGACTTTGTGCAAAACTTTAACATAGGCAGGTGGTAATGGTTTCAGAGGAGAAAGGGGAGTAGGCTTCCTAGTATAGATCTGGGGTCTGGCCACTAGACTAGGGAAACCAGCTAATGCATCTTAGCTCCCTTCTTAGGAAAAGACACTAACAGCGGAGATTCCCTCCCTGACAAATGATAGGTGGCTTGCTTGCTTGCCTCAAGAACCCAGAACTTCTTATCTTTAAGACCCAAGTACCTTTCCTTGTTGATAATTTTTATCTCTAGAGTCTTCCAACTATAAGCCAGATGAAAGAGCTATTCTAGCCCTTTCCTCCAACAGAAAACCGGAGGACTGAGGAAAGACAGCTGTGGGAGGATGAGGGGATGAGTGGGGATGGCGACGGGGATGGGGGGGCCCTCTGGCTAACGGTACACTTACCACTTTTTGGTTCCCTTCATTGTCGGTGAGCAGCCATTCGATATCCAGGGTGTCTTTTTCTGGAAGCCCCAGCTGATGGTGACAGGGCAAAGTGACCTTTTCTTCTGCCACTCGCTTGATCTCAGTGTGAGTCCCCAAGGTTCCAACATAGTAGGAAACTGGAAGAGGAGAGCATCTAATGAGTAATGCAGAAATGCATAGCAATGTGTGGGAAGCAAATATTACAACTAATAATTACGGGGTGTTCCTGTGGGTAAGGGCCAAATCAAGGTGTTGGAAGAATCCCGGACCAGATGTACCAGAAGTCCCGGAATCTCCCACTGGCTTCTCCTTTAAGTGAATTCATCATTAGCTTCTGGAGCCCCCTGAATTATACTCTTAGCGATCCGTACTCGTCCTCTTTCCTACCTTCTTGGTTTTTATGAATGATGAAATAAATCATTCAGGTCAACAACTTTGTTTTTTGAACTTTCTCTCCTTTACCAGCAAAGGCTGGCAAAAGGGCAGAAACCAAAGTAAAGGCAGGGGTTGGCAACCTTCCCAGAACAGGCTCCAGATATCACTTGGCCCCTTGAGCCACCCTTAGAGACAGGCTACTCCCACAGGCCGACAGGTAAGGGCAGCAGGCCTCAGGGAACGAGTGGAATCTTTTTTTATTTTTTATTTTTTTAAAGATTTTTATTTATTTATTCGACACAGAGAGAGATCACAAGTAGGCAGAGAGGCAGGCAGAAAGAGAGAGAGCGGGAAGTAGGCTCCCTGCTGAGCAGAGAGCCCGATGCAGGGCTTGATCCCAGGACCCTGATATCATGACCTGAGCTGAAGGCAGAGGCTTCACCCACTGAGCACCCAGGCACCCCATGAGTGGAATCTTATAGGCAGTTCCTGCTTCCATGAAAGACCTCATTCTCTGCCCCTCCAAGTTCTATCTTCCAGTCTCTATAGTCTCATCCCACGTGGCTTCAAAATATGAAGGAACCCTTCCTGTCCAAAGTGAAATCCCAAGTTACCACATTAGGATCCTGTCCCTCCATGCATCCAGTATCCCCTTGGCCAACAGGATTTCAGTTCCGCTTTTGGCTTTCTTTACCCCTAATTTTCATCTTGTTCCAGGAAGAGTGTCCCGCCAGCAACTCTAGGCTCTAAGTTCACTCACCTTCTCTCCTTCCTGTTCATTTCGGACCCTGTGGACTATTAAATCCACAGTGTTAGAGAACGTCACCTGGATTCTAGGTATCATGTGTCTGGCATGAAGGCGTGCCCTAAGATCCTCCTTTGCCTCCTTGCACACAATAAAGGAGCTCAGCGTGAAAAGCCATTCACAATGCTCCTACGAGAGGTTCACAAGGTAACAGAATCATACCACCTCCAAGCTGGGACAGCCCCAGGTGTCAGGGTTTCTGGTGAAGTCCCCTCTCCTGGGAAGCACTCATTCTGCCCCTTTGGAGCACTAAAGATCAAGGATCGTGACTCACAGAAGCAGATAAGCTACCTTTCTTATTCCCCGTTCATTTCCCAAGATATTAGCAATCAATCTGTGGGAAGGAAAACGGCCTGAAAGGAGGAAGAAGGAAGCAGGGGAAACTGTAGTTCCCTCTACACAGTAGGCAGGCTGGGTTGATAGGGCAGGGCTGGGCCCTCAGAGGCACCCGCCTGCCCCGCCAACAGAAACAGCAGGTGGATTCCCAAGCTCCAGGGCAGAGAAAGGAGACCACAGAGATCTGTAGGGCCTAAGAAACGGCCTTCAGAACCAACAGGATAAGCCCCTCATAGGGTTTTACTGACATTCCTAATAAGGTTTCTGCTATTTCTGTTTAAAACTTGAAACTGCAAGGGGAGTGGCCAGTTAGGGAGTAGTTGTGTGGTTTGGCTATACACCGATGACTCAGCCCAATGAAGAAAGGGTGATTATCCAAATCTACAGATGAAGCATGAAGATGAGCTTAGCAATTTGTTCAAGATCACGCAGCCAGGAAAGGACAGATCAGGGGCTCAAGCCCAGATGCGTCTCACTGCAAAGGTCCTACTCCAACAGCCATGCTAGGCAGCTTCTGGCTTCCTGGACACATGGTTCTCCCATTAGCCTGCAAGCTCCTTGAGATCAGGTACCAACTGACCACAACCTTCCCAAAGCGCTCAGCCCAGGACCTCTCACTCTGCAGGTGCTCAATAAACCATTGTTGGATTGACTTGAATTTAACCCATGGACTCATTTCACCTGGGAGCAGACTGAGGCCCAGGGATAAAGGAGTTGCCCTGAAGTCCTACAGATCCTTTAAGGCATAACCCATATAAAACCTATCCTCCCTCAGGCCCCATGAAGCAGCTATAGAACGGCAAGGAGATTAGCCAGTTTGCATCGCACTAAGCTAAGCGTGGAAGAAGGAGCTCTGGCTTCTTCTACCCCTGCTCACTTGGCCCTGGATACAATGATCAAATGAAACCAACATCCCATGCCCCTGGCAAAGCTGGAGAACCAAGGACCAATTTAGTGCATACAGTAGGCACTATACCTTAAATAAATAAATAAATAAATGCGAAGAAACAGCTATGAAAGTTGCCGATTTGAGCCACTAGAGGGAATCAAAGGCTCAGGTTTGGTTGATGTCCCAAAAGGAAAGGAACACGGTGGTGGGTGGCATGCTTTGCCAGCGTGCGAAGTTCTATTTATACCATAGCCAGAACTAAATACAGCCCTGCAGGGAGGGGGCTGCCCAGAAAATACAAATGACTTTACCATGGCAGGGAAACTCAAGATGAGAGGGCATGCATCTCTAGTCTTCCCTGAACTTCAGCGCCCCAGACTTCGGGGCGGGGGGCTCACTGGGATCCCTGTGAATTTCTCAAATTTTTCCTTTTGTGCATTCCCTCCCCACCCCCACACCTGTGTTCTGTAGCATAAGCAGACAGGGGTTGGGCTCTGTATGGAATTCTCGGGCCTGGGGAAGCCTGGGCGGCTCAGTCAGTTGAGTCTGCCTTCGGCTCTGGTCAGGAATCCAGAGTCCAGGGATTGAGCCCACATTTGGCTCCTCGCTCAGTGGGGACCCTGCTTCTCCCTCTGCCCACTGCTCCCCTTCTGTGCTCTCTCTCTCTCTCTAACAAATGAATAAATAAAATCTTTTTTTTTTTAAAGATTTTATTTATTTATTTGACAGACAGAGATCACAAGTAGGCAGAGAGGCAGGCAGAGAGAGGAAGGGAAGCAGGCTCCCTGCTGAGCAGAGAGCCGGATGCGGGGGCCCAATTCCAGGACCTTGAGTTCATGACCTGAGCTGAAGGCAGAGGCTCAACCCACTGAGCCACCCAGGTGCCCCTGAATAAATAAAATCTTAAAAAAAAGAATTCTCGGGTTTGGCAGTGGATAAGCACATGTCTCCACTGCCCGGTGGGTGAGTGGGAAGAGCTAGCTCTAGGCTCTCAGGCATTGAAGGGTTCATCTTTATTAAGAAAGACTGTAAGAGATCATCAGAATTTAACTTAGGAGGAAACTACAGCCCAGAGAATTGGAAATGTTAAACAGAACTGCAAATAGGGAAATACAGCTGATCCTTGAACAATGCAGGGGTGGGGCACTGGCGCCCCCTGCAGTCCAAAATCCACATATAACTTCTGACTCCAAAACTTGATTAGGAGCCTACTGTGGACAGGAAACTTTACTTATAACATAAACAGGCAATTAACACATATTCCGTATGCTATGTGCACTGTGTACTGTATTCTTACAATAAAGTCAGCTAGAGAAAAGAAAATATTAAGAAAATCATAGGGAAAACACATGTACAGTACTGTACTGTAAGAAATCCACATGTAAGTGCATCCACACAATTCAAGGGTCTCCCCTGGGCGTCTAGGATGCGCCCTGCACTTGACGGTGGGGGGAGGCGCTGGGAGGTAACAGTGGTACAAACACTCTCTGTGTGCACATGCAGGATTTAGTCCTGGAAGCCTCCAGCTTTCCCTAAGGGAAGGCTTCTCATACAACTCGGGCACTTAACACAGGCCCTTTGAGAGCCAAAGCTTGGGAGAATTACCCTCCCTGAGCCTTACCATTCTCATCCGCAAAATGGGAATTGAAGGAAACACTGACTAAGGCACCCAGCACAGTGCCAGCACATAGGAGTCTCCCCGCTAAAATGTCAGTTCCCTTTCCCTGTTTTTCTCTACTACGAGAAGGGTCGTTTTATTTTCTCAGATGATGGCTGCCTACATTCAGCTAAGATGAGTTCAAGATTTTGTTCTCTAAAAGACATTTACATTTATTAAAGATTTTCGTGAGCCTGTAAGACTTTCAAAGAGATGGGCAGGGGTAACTTTTTGGTTTTCATCATGTATACTTTTATATAACTGAGGGAAGTAAGACATAATTAGAAGATGAAGCCATTGAGAAGAGACTAGTACATTTTATTTATTTATTTTTAAAAGATTTTATTTTTTAATTTATTTTTTAAGATTTTATTTATTAATTGGATACAGAGAGAGGGAGAGCACAGACAGGGGGAGCCGGAGAAGGAGCAGCAGACTCCCCACTGAGCAGGGAGCTCAATGCAGGGCTTGATCTCAAAACCCTGGGATCATGACCTGAGCTGAAGGCAGACGCTGAACCAACTGAGACACCCTGTCCCTGTTGTTAGACCTTCTAACAGTCCTGCCTGATAGGAGAATGAGCAGTAACAGTTAGTGAACTTTCCATTACTGGAGTCATTCAGGCAGGGGATATGTCAGGAGCTGTAAAAGCGATCCTTACATGTGGATGATGAATCAATATTTAAAGTTCTTTCTAACTATAATATTGTATGAAATATTAACTGATAATATTAATATTCAAGGCACTGTCCTCGTCGAATGGGATGCAAAGTATAAGACACAAATGTATACTATTATCTGTCAATGTGTTTTGTCACCATCAATCAGCTCATACACAACTGATATAAACGATCTCATTCTGTTTCATTGTTAACATTGTTTTTAAAGATTGTTGAAGTGTTTTTCTTTTCATTTTTTATTTTATTTATTTTTAAAGATTTTATTTATTTATTTGACACAGAGAGAGAGAAATCACAAGTAGGCAGAGAGAGCAGGGGAAGAAGGCTCTACGCTGAGCAAAGAACCTGATGTGGGCTTAATCCCAGGACCCCGAGACCACGACCCGAGCCGAAGGCAGAGGCTTAACCCACTGAGCCACCCAGGCACCCTGTTGAAGTGTTTTTTAAAAGAAGTGAAGGGAACTGACCCAAGCTATTACTGAATTTCTTTCTTATCTATGGATGTTTTAATCCACAAGGGGGCAGAATTTACTTAGAGAGGATTAGCCATGCCTCATCTTTAATGCAGTTCTATTAGTAAGGATTATTATTGACAAAGAATTATAGATGACCTTGGATTTAAGCTTGATAAGCACTTTGTTGCCATTTGTGATTATATACTAAATTTCAAACAACCCGCATTTAATTTTCAAGGGCAACAGAAATCAGAAAAACAGATATTTGAGAGGAACTTTTTACCAAGGCAACAGAAATATACACTATTTTAATAGCTTCAATTCACTGTTTTCACTTTGTCCAACTGAAATGGATGTTTACTCTGAGGCCAAAAACCTTATCTTAATTGCAGAATTTATTATGAAACAAAGCAATTAAACAGGTGCTGTGAAGACTTGCTTTAGTAGACAGTCAATAAGAAAGACAAAGGGAAGGAACAAAAATCCATCACAGATGGCTTAGAGGGACTGAGGAATCAGCACAAGAACCTTCCAGGTCCTTTCAGTCTTGACATTTAGTCTTGGTTCTAGGCCAGTCATTTACAGAATTACAAAATCCTGGGATGTTCCGATTATATGTACAATCTCAAGCTTGGGAAAGCCTATAGAAGGTCGTTGTCTTGCCTTTTGAACAATTTTACATTTAAAACTCATCTGCTGAAACATATCAAATGATTCCTATTCTCTTTTATCATTGAGAATCTGAAATCACGGCAACATTGTTCCAAGATATTGAGACTTCTGCTAGTATCAAATTTTGTATTATTGTATATCATGAGATATTTACGGATACCAACTTCTGTATCACAGGATAATCAGGGATACTGTCTTCCATAGAATGTCTTTAATCAAACACCTTGTCTTCAATACTTCAGATTCTGGGTGCCACAAAAAGGAATAGCGACGAAATCATTGGCAC